GGGCACGGGCAGCAGGGACCGGGAACCTCTCCTGTGGGCACCTGCTGGTCCAAGGCGGGCTGCCCCTCCCCGGGCACCGCTCTGCTCCGGGAACAACTGGGACAGCTCTGCCCGGTGAGTAACCACTGCCTGCTCCCGAACCTTCCCACCGGGACCAAGTGACATTCCCACAGCAGAACGGTGACTTGCTCATGGCCATCCCTTACAGCTTCTTTGCTTATCTCTAAGGCAGTCAGCGACTTTTAAATTCACTTGGCTGCCCCTGCTCTGTGGACTGAAGTTTTCTCCCAAGACGACTCCCAGGTGTCACTGGTGCCCAGTTTGCAGAGGCTGTGCTGTGGTCACAGCCACCGTTCTGGCACAGGAAATCCCACAGGAGGTTCAGCACACACAACCCTGCTGAAATGGCACAGGAGCTGTTCTCCTCCTTTGTGCTGCACCAGAGCTGAAAAAAGCCATTTCTGGCTGCACTGGAGCTATGGAAAAAATAACTTTAAAATATCTGGGAGACACAGGCAGTTGTCCAGACCAGCATTTTCAGACAGGCCTCTGGTATGAGGCACCCCATCTCAGTTACCTTTAAATAACACTGATTTGGTTTTTTGGGAATCCTGCACAAGCCATTCTCTCTCCCAAGCCAGAGTAAAGCACCGCTCAATAAAAACATTTATTGATTCAGAAGCATCTTTTACAGTGGGAGGGATTGTTTGCATGCTCTCATCTGGAGTAATGGTACAACCATGAAGAACAATCTAAGGTGGTTTTGCTCCATACTCTCACTGAGTGCTTTCCCTTTTCCACCCCAGGGAAGTGCATTCCCTGTCGTACATGCACTGTTTAATCAGTGAATCATCTGCCTTCCTTCACAGATGCCCTCAGAACATGTCTGATTGGACAAGTCTGTGGTATGTCTGGTAAGTTGGCTTTTAATCTTCCTAACCCAGAGCCCTTTGGAGGTTTTTATGAGCAGCCCTTGGAGCAGGGCAGTGGAAAGGCTTCTCTGAGGCAGGATCAGGGAAGGGTTTCTCTGTTTTCAGAGGAATGGACTGGACGAGGCCAGGGGAGATTGGGTGTCAGGTGGGGACCAGCATTCACCGAGGGCTGTGTCATCTTTCCCTTCTGAGTGCTCTGCAGTTGAACTCCAGGGCTTGTTTGTTCTTCCTAAATAGCCAGAGCCCTGCTGGCCATTGGCTGCTCCCACAGGGCAGCTCCAGCAGGGATTTGCTGGGCCCTGGCCCTGCCCCATCCCCGGCTCACTCCCTTCTATGGGACAGGGACAGGGACTGGCACCTCTGCGGGGCACAGAGCTGAGCACAACCTGCTGGGAGGGGCAAGCTGGGACCAGAGAGAGGATTCCCAACAGGATTCATCTCCCACCTGGTACAGGTGCCTGACATTGTTTGCATGGCTGGCATTCTGTCCATACATTGGCTCTGAGCACACAGAGGGAGTTGATTCCTTCACCTCCTTCAGTCTGGAGCAGTTTTGGTTGATACACAGAGCTGTTTAAAAATACACAGTTACCAAAAATAGATTGAGAAGGCTTCTGAAAGCCTCCAGGAAAAGAGGGAGTTGAATTGAGAAACTGAGAGGTGGGCAGGTGGAGTTTTAGTGGAGAACCTGAAACACAGGTATATCAGTCAAGGTACATTGTAAATTGTTAAATTATAAACTTCCTTAAGCAATAGCTACAGATAGAATTGTGTTTTCAAGGCATAAATATAATTTAATATAATATCATTTCCATGCTCATTTATAAAGAGAGGCCCTAGACTTGTGAAAGTTTGTGCTTGTGCTTCCCTCCAAGTACAAACCCTCTTTTGCTGTGGAAAGCAGAGCCATTCTCCCTGCACAGAAGTAGAAAATAACCCCAAATAGTGAATGTTTCAGCACCTGTGAGCCAGAAGGGGTTGTACTGCTGGGCAGTAATTCTTCAGCTCATGACTGAGTGTTTGTGATCCAACTTTCTAACCCAGGATCCAGCCCCCATTCAGAACTAAAGGAGGCCTGGCCTGTGTTCTGACCATGTTGAAATGATATTCTGGTTGAGAAGCAGTAAAACAGAAGCAGTGCACTGGAGGTTTTCCCCTCCCTGTTTCAGGCTGATCTTGCTGCTGGTGTTCCTGCTCCTGCTCTGCGGGGTCTCAGCGAGCTGTGTCAGGTTCTGCTGCAGGAAGAAAAGGATCCCAGTGGAGCCCTTCCCTCGGCACCCCTGCGACCTGGCCGTGATCGGCATTGACAGTGACAGCACTGCCCACAGCACAGTGACCTGTGAGTATCCCAGGAGTAACCTGCTC